CCATCTTTCGGCTGTGTGTGTATGTGTGTGTGTGTGTTTGTGTGTGTGTTGGCACACATGCGCAGGACTTATTCTGTGCTTCAGGGGCTATTGTGCCAACTCTTGGGCTCTGGATGCCATGCTTGGGTACCTGGAAATACCTGGTTGGGCCAGGAGGAACCCAGGCTACGGTGGATGCTGCTCGCGGGCATTGGGTGAGTTGAGAGTGGCAGAGGGGAGGCTGTGCCCACTGATGGGTTGAGTGTGTGGGCACAGCTCCTTTCCAAAATGCCCCAGGGTCACATGCTTATAAAGCTTCTACCACCTGGATCTACCCTGACCTGACCAGCAAATGGCTGAGGCATCAAAATCACAGGTGATTTCAGCCCTTTCAGCAGCTGCTAGAGGAGTCATCCTGGGATCTTCTAGAAGCTTCTAGAACCTGGACCTCCTCTTACCGTCTTTCACAGATAAGCAATTTCTTTGTGCACTGGACAGCACACACTTTCCAGGCCAAGTCTCAGTGCTGACCTGGATGGAGAGAAACCTTCCTGGCCAGTGGGCACACTGGGAGCATAGAACTATCAGCCCCTTGGCTGGGCATGGTGGCACACGCCTGTAATCCTAGCACTCAGGAGGCTGAAGTAGGAGGATCTCCATAAGTGTGAGGCCAGCCTGGACTATATAGTGAGTCTAACACCAGCTTGAACCATATAGTGAGACCTTGTCTCAAAAAATAAATAAATAAATGAACTACCAGCCCCTGGGGCAGAATGAAGGAGTTTATACATAGGGCCAGTGCATCCTGGGAAAGGTGGTAAAAATGAGAGAGGAAGCACAGGCTCTCCCATTAGGGTGCTTAAACTCTAAGTAGCAAGACAAGCTGGGCCCTCAGGGAGTCCCTGACTGAAAGGGACCTCACTCGAAACCAGAGAACAAGACTTGGTTTCATATAACAACATATGGAATGTATATGCATACATACACATGTACACACACACTCACACATATATTTTGGTATTTGGGAATTGGAGCAGGTGTGGTCTTCCATTGACCTACACTCCAGGGTTTTTCTTTTCCATTTTGAGACAGGCTGTCACTAAGTTGCCTAGGCTGGCCTTAAACTTGAGATCCTCCTGCCTCAGCCTCCTGGGTGCTAAGATTGTAAACGTGCACCACCACGCCCAACCGAGTTCCTCATTTCATTAAGTATTTTGTGAACATTAAATAGTTTGAAGAACATGAAAGATGGGACAGGTGTGGTGCTACACATCTGTAATCCCAGCTACTCAGGAGGCTGAGGCAGGAGGAATGAAAATTTGAGCCCAACTTGGGCCACTTAGCTGAGACCTTGTCTCAAAATAAAATTTACAAAAGATTGAGTTCAATTTTCAGTACTGCAAAAATAAAATAAAATAGAAATTTAAAAAGTAACATTGTTTTTCTTTTTTTTTGGTACCGGGAATTGAACTCACAACCTCGTACTTGCCAGGAGGGTGCTTGGGCCACTGAGCTATATCCTCGGCCCTAAAAAGTAACATTGTTCTTATCAAATTCCATATCCCAAGTTTGGGGAAAGACATTACATATACTACAAACCTGTCAGTCAGAATGGCAGCTGTGTCTTCTATTAATAGGTAGAAGAATGAGGGAACATGTACAACTTACATCTAGGGAAGTAGAATAAGTTATCACTTTTGAGGTTCTGAAATCCTCTTCATGACAACCATGCATACAGAGTTTGGCACGTCCAACCAAGGTCACAAGCAAGAACAGGGGCAGCCTCTTGGCTTCAAGGGATATGTCACTGACTACAACAAAATAATCTGAGTTCATGGTCCTTTTATGGCCTTTTTTTCCTTTAAAAATATTTATTTTATGTGGCACTGGAGATTGAATCCACGGCCTTTGCAGTGAGCCACAACTCAACCTTTTTTTATTTTTTAATTTGAGACAGTTGCCCAGAATGGACTTAAACTTACAATCCTCCTGCCTCAGTCTCCCAGAGTGTTGGGATTACAGGCATGTACCACTATCTCTTTTTTTTAATGAATTATTTTGTTTGTCCTGGTTCTGAGTTTGTAGTCATATGTCACAGCAAATGTTACATCTTTGAAAGTACTGAACGGACAATTTAAGGGAACCCATGTGGAAACGTATAATGAACGGGAGCCTTTCCTTGAGGGGGAAAATCAAACCCAAGGGCTTATACATGTTATGCATGTACTCTACTAATGAGTTAAGTCCCCAGCCCCAGAGAACCTTTATTTTAAGCTCTGCAAGGACCTACATGAGCTGGATGTGGTGGTGCACACCTGTGATCCCAGCACTCAGGAATGAGTTTGAGGGTGTCCTGGGCTACATAGTGAGTTCAAAGCCATTCTGAACTACAGAGAGAGACTGTCTCGAAAAACAAAACAAAAACCATATGGTGTTTTTTAAGTGTAATTTTATTAAATTATTATTATTTTAAAAACTGGATCTCATTGTGTTGCCTGTTCTTAAACTCATGGCCTTAAATGATCATCCCACTTCAGCCTCGTAAGTCTCTGGGACTACAGGTGTGTGCTACCACATCCAGCTTAAAATATTATTATTATTATTACTAGTTTGTCTTTTTGAGACAGGGTTCAGGCTGGCAGTTCAGGCTGGCCTTGAACTCACTTTGTAGCCCAGGCTGGCTTCACACTCATGGCGATCCTCCAGCCCCAGCCTCCCGAATGCTGGGATTATAGGTGTGTGGCACCACACCCAGCCTTAAATTATTTTTAGAAAGATGTATGGGATAGGAAAGCATGGGTAAGATGGGAAGTAAAGACAGGTGACTCTGTCCTCTGGGGCACTGATTCTCCACTGAGCTTTTATTTGTGTATGTTGACAGGGGGAGGGAGCTTGAAACCAGCTCTACCAGGGGACAGACACATGGCCAATCTCTAGGGCCAGGGAAATAGGATACCCCTCTGCTCTAAAATGTTGATGAGCTGCAGAGGGGAGAGGGACAGAAGGACAGATGGAATTCCTGGACAATTGTTCCGGCTGTCACCAGAGAGGACAGGCGGGAGGGGACACTGGATAATTTATAGAGAGACAGATGATCAGGCTTCTCCAGAACCATCTGGCCAAGAGAGGCCCGAACTAGGGGGTGGATAGGTCTTTACGACTACTGAGCAAACTCCTCAGCCCCCAGCTCACCCTAGTCCTTCTACCTGGCCTGCTTGTTGCGCTCAGGTTTTCCCCCAGAAGGTCTCTGCTCCTTTGGGACCCAGCTCCTGAATATCTCTTAGGTCAGGTCTCATCTCACTTTCTCCTTTGTTGGCCCGGGGCCTTTCTTTGCTACCCTTCCTGCTAGGACCGAGAGATGTGCTTTGGGGGCCTGTAACTCCTACTTATGCATTTCTTTATTTTATAGTATTTTCAAGCCAGCCTCCCCACTACTATAACCCAAAAATTTTCAATCACTCACCAGCAGGCCACTTATTTATTCAATAAATAGGCTAGACATTGTTTATTTATTTATTTATTTTTGCCCCTTTTTTTGGAGACAGGGTCTTGCTATGCAGTTCAGACTGGTCTTGAGCTCACTTTGTAGCCCAGGCTGGTCTCGAACTTGCAATGATCCTCCTGCCTCAGCCTCCCGAGTGCTGGAATTACAGGTGTGTGCCACCATGCCCGGTAGCTAGGCATTATTTTTTTAAAATCTTTTTAAATTTTTTTTTGTTTCCAGTACCGGGAATTGAACTCACAACCTTGCGCTTGCCAGGCAGGCGCTGTACCGCTGAGCTAAATCCCCAGCCCCCTAGGCATTGTTTAGACACTGGGACTACAGTGATGATTAAGAAAAATCCCAGACCTCTGCAGTTTGCATTGTAGTGGGAGAGATACCCAATAAACAAAGAAATATTTAGTAGGATGTCAGACAATGATACTTACTGTGAAAGCGGGGTAAAGGCAAGTGTCTGGGGTTGCTGATTTAGACTGAGTGACCAGGGAAGGTTTGTCTGAGGTGGTGAAATTGGAGGAGAGACACAAATGGAAGTGACTAGTTAGAAAAAGAACATTCCAGTCACGCAAAAGAACAGAATGAAAGTCATCTCTGAGGCAGAAATATGCTGCTGCATTGGAGAAAATCATGCTTTTTATTCACGAAGCGTTTATGGCGTGCCAGGAATATGAAGATGCTCTCACACATCGTTTTTGCATTGAAGGAACAGTAAGACAGAGGGCTCTATAGCATGTAAACACATAATTATGAAACTGGATAGCCATAATAATATGGCCATAACTTATATGCAAGTTACCAGAGATGCCCAGCAAAAGCAGCACCAAAGGGAGGGTTTTCTGGAGGAGGTGACAGTTAAACTGAAAGTCAAAGAAGTAAAAATTATGGGAAGCTTCCAAGAGGGGCTGGATATCTTAAGGCCTGATGTCTGAAAGCACAGCACGGTTTAGGAAGTTGAAGTCCCTGAGACAGGTGGAAAATGAGGCTGGTGAAAGTGAAAGAGGTTGGGATACGCGGACATCCTCGTGCCAAGCTGAAGAGCTGATTTTATTTGGATGATGGAGACTCTCCCACTATATTTTTGAGCGAGGTTCGCCCCACCCCCGCGCGCGCCTTCGTCTTTCTTCCCTTTCCTGCTATTGCCCTACGCCTCACATCTCCTTCCTTTTCTCGTAGTCAGGCCTCCAAACCCTGTTTTTTTTTGTTTTTTTTTTAAATTCTTTTTCCCGATAACGGGAATTGAACTCACAACCTTGTGCTTGCCAGGCAGGTGCCGTGCTGTTGAGCTAAATCCCCAGACCCATTTTTTTTTTTTTGTTTTGTTTTTCTCCGGTATCGGTAATCGAACTTACGACCTCGCACTTGCCAGGTAGGCGCTGTGCCGCTGAGCTAAATCCCCAGCCCCTCAAACCCTGTTTTAAGAGGCTCCCATCTTTCTCCATCACCCGGCCCCCCCACCCCCGTCGCTGGCCCGAGGCCCCGCCCCTTGCCCCGCCCCGTCCCCGCCCCCGATGACGCGCGGTGCGCTGTGCGTGGGGATTCCCGCGGCCCGAGCCACTACCCGGCCTGCCCCGCGGCAAGATGGCGGCTTGAAGGCGGCGGGCACCGGCGGAAAGTTTGTTGTGGGATAAGAGTAGTGGGACCAGGAGACTAGAATTGAGGGGAAGAGCGTGGGACCCTAGCTTAGAGTAGGCACGGAGGACGGACTGTCTGGGGTGGAGAAGAGGAGGTGGAGTGGAGGAGGTTAAAAGCGGAGAGAAAAAAGGAGATGGGGCGGAAGGGAGGGGGCCTGGAATGCGGGGGCAGCCCAGGGAAGGGGCTTGGAGCCGAGGAGACTGGAATAGGTGTGGGTCCGGCCCAGGGAAGCAGTCACGAATTGGAAGAGAATTTCTTAACCGAGAGTAAAGGAGACTGGAGCGGGGTACCGGAGGCCTGACTGTACCACGCCAGTGAGAGGAGAAGGGGGTCTTCTTAGTAGAGGGGAGAGTGCACAAGGGTGGAAGAGAGCTCGAGGATGCTGGGCAGATCTGCTAAGGAGGGAACTAAAGCAGTGGAATGACCCTCCTCCAGGCTTAAATCAGCCTTTCCACAACTCCTATAGCAGCATCTGGCCCAATTTCAGCTGAAGACCCAGGGGCCCCAGGGACTGGAAGAAATCACAGTGCCTGCTTGGAAAGAAGAAGAGGTAGCGACTTGCCCCAGCCCAACCCCAGAGCGGGTAAGGTGGCCTCCAGTGACAGCTTTCTCATTGGCATAGTGCTTCATAAAGGACCCATGGCTTGCAGTGATGCTGAGAGTCATTTGTTCTGCTCTTCTAGAAAGGTTGCCCTTTGCCTGTGGTCCCTAAGTTGATGTTTTGCTTAGAATACAGGCTGCCTTTTGAGAGTTGTAGAATTGAGCCTCACTTGCCTTCATCTGTGCAAGCACATTTGGGCACAGACCTAGAGATCAGGCTGAAAGCATTCTAACACATTCCTGTCACAAGCAGTTTCCGACATATTCACAGTTTCTTTTTCTGTCTCCCCCATCACATCTTCAGCTTGACACACCACCTGGAAGTAGAGATTTTGGGGTGACAGATGGTGGGGAGTCTTGAGAAAAGCTTCCAGTGGTGTTCACTGATCATCTGGGCACCTGCAGTCACCAGCTCCTGAATTCATTCTTGCTGCATGTCTACTTTGGCACTTTGCTTTTGGTAAAAAGTGTTCATTACTGTTTCCCAGGGAATGTGTATTGTGGGAAAATTGTGTGAGAAGAAGGGAAAGGCAGTTTGGGAGGAGGGAGAAGAAACGCAGATGAGTTTATGGTGAGGGATGAACTTGACTGGTATAAAGTTCTGGGAATGTTTATCACCTTACACTGTATCCCTGAAACCCTTGATGTTTGAGAGCTGCTTTACAGTTGGCCCTGTGAGGCAATGGAAGGAAAGACTTAGAGACCTTGCCTTTTTCTGATAGCTTTCTTCCCTTCTGTTGTATTCTCTCCACCTTTAAAAATAAATCAGTTTCATTAGCCAAACTAAGACGTCATGGACTTAGTGTTGGAGAGCAGGCCGGAGGTGAAGCCACAATACAGTGAATGTGGTCCTTATGTCCTTTGGCACCTTGTGGTTGTCACAAAGTTGGGAGCAGGATCGTTATTAAAACCTGTTTCAGGATCATGCTTCCTGACTGTACTGGGAGGTCTGGTTGACCTAGAACTCCTCACTGACCGCCTCCTGTTCTCTGCATCCGCCACCGTTCACTGAAGTTTATTCCCAGCAGGACATCCCAAGTCCTGTTACTAGGCCAGCTTAAACACCTAAGGTATCTGAAGAATTAATGATATTTAGCTATGAATCCATTTCTAGAGAGTCAAGAAGCTTCCTTTTCCAGACACATTTTGTGGATGCTTCCTTAGAAAATGTCATTGGCAAGAGCAGTGTGATGAATGGTGAAGAGAACTGACCCTAGAGCAAGGCTGCCTAGTTGAAATCCCGACTTTACCATTTGTAGCTGTGTGACCTTTATTTTTTTATTATTTTATTTTTTTGGTTTTTTTCCAGTACTGGGAATCGAACTCACAACCTCGTGCTTGCCAGGCAAGTGCTGTGCTGCTGAGCTAAATCCCCAGCCCAGTGTGTGACCTTTATTAATTATACCATTCTCTGCCTCAGATTCTTACCCATCAGTGGAGGTGGTAAGAGGACCTTACTCTTTTTTTTTGAGTCTTGGTATGTAGTCTAGCCTGGCTTTGAACTCACAGGGATCGTCCTGCCTCAGCCTCGGAGTGTGAGATTACAGCGTGTACCACCACACCCGGCTATCATGAGGTTCTTGTGAGCATAAGATCAGTGCCTGACACTGAGTATCAGTTGTTTTGCTGTTAGATATCAGCATTGATTTCTTCCTGGCTGAACTTCCTGTTGCTGGAGGATCTGTACCAATCTGGGCTGCTATCCTGATGAGACTCAGCTTTTGGATAGTATAGATTTTTTCAGGGGGGTATAGTGAGACTATCTGTGTTAAGCTATTAAAGTGTTTAAAGCTGTGAGGGTGGAGAATTTTTTTTCCTTGCATCTGAGCAGTAGTAGTGCTTAGTGAGCATGTTTATTCTGTGTTGCCTGGCATGGGCATAAGTATTTTATACATATTAACTCATTTTTATAAGAACTATGGGCTGGGGTTATAGCTCAGTGGCACAAGTGCATGCCTGGCAAGTACACGGTCCTGAGTTCAATTCCTGGTACCCAAAAACAAACAAACAAAAAACCTGTATAACGTAGATGCTGCTTTTAGCCGTGTTTTACAGATGAGAGAAAATAGGTGCACAGGGTGTTTTAAGTCATTTGCTCCAGGTCACTCAACTAGTAAGTGGCAGAGCTGGGATTTCAACCCAGGCAGTCTGGCTTCAGCAGTTGAGCTTTTTTTTTTTGGCTAGGGTCAGGGGATTAAGGGGGTTTGCTATGTGTTACCCAACTTGGCCATAAACTTCCGGACTAAAGTGACCCTCTGGCCCATGCTATGTGGTGAAGGTAACTTCTACATATGCCTAGGAGCAATTTGTGTCTCTTGCCTGATTATCTGTCCTGGTTGATGTTTGTTTGTTTTTATGGTTAGATACATAATTCCTGTTTTCCTGAACAGTTTTTTGGTTATTTAAAACATTGGAGGTGGGATGGGGGTCTGAGCTCTTTATCACAGCCCTCTCTTTCCTCAGAAATAAGGGACATTGGTGAGGGAGCCAAAGCTGAGAACTCTTCCTGCGTCTATTTGATGACTACTCTTTGGAAACCTTCACCCCTGGCTTGGGCAAGCAGACAGATGTTTGGATCTACTCTAAACAAGCTGGGGATTGGGATCTGTGTGTTAATATAGGTGTAAATGTCAGGCACATTTCTGGTTTTCATCACTGACATGAACAGTTGAGGACACAATGTTGATTTCATAGATAGTCTGGATGTCATTGTCTTTTAAAAAAAGCAGATAACAATCTACCCCAGAAAAAGAAAATAGGTGACATTTTTAAGGGCTCTGTTCCCTCAGCATGGGGAAAATGGAAAGCAGATGTGCTTGCTTCAGCCAAAGCCCCTGCTGTCTGATGAAGGCCAGGGCTCAAGGCTTTCCCTGTGGCCAGGCAGAAGGCTGCATGCAGTCTGGGCAGAGGTGTGGCCAAGGTTTGATTGACTAGCTTTCCTTTGCCCTGTATTTAAGACTCCTCTGAGTCATGTCCTGTCTACTGAACACACCCTCAGGGCCTGTCTTTTTCTTCTTAAATGACTCTTTGTGCCATCAGAGCGGGCACACGGCTGGTGTCTACACAGGCTTTGAGGGAGTTGGGGGCTGAGGACTCTGGGCTTTCCTTGGGAACACTGGGCCAGCCCTGTGATGAACTTCCCTATCTGTTGTGGGATGTGTGATCCTGAGAGGTAGGCAGCGTCTGTCAGTCTTGCTTCCCTCTATCATTTAGAAGCCATGTGTCCCAGGGTAACCAGCGTCCTTTATCTTGATATGTGCTCCCGTCAGCGTGCTGAAACATGTTATCTTCATAGAGTACACTTTTTTGTTTCAGTACAAGAAGTCCTCAGATCTTCTGGATTCAGGTCACATTTTAGTGAATATCTGAATTGCAGGACGCAGGCTGATGGATTTCTGAGCTGGTTCTCCCCATTACTGTTTCTTTTTGTTGTGTAAATCGATTTCTTCTCATAGTGCCCTTTGTCCAGATATTTGTATTCTCTCCCTTCACTGCCTTCTCACCACTGTATTTGGAGTGCCAAGGACTTCGGGGTAAACTCAAGTCTTTATTTCTCATCTAGAGTGGGCCTGCTGATTCTGTTTTTGTGGTACTGGGGATTGAATCCAGGGCCTTTGCACTGAGCTGCATATCCCCAGCCCTTTTAAAAATTGATTTTGAGACAGGGTCTCACTATATCACTGAGTTGCTTAGATTGGGTTCAAACTTGCAATCCTCCTGCCTCAGCCTCCCAGGGTGTTGGGATTATAGGTGCCTGTCACCATGCTCAGGTTGGATTCAGCATGGAGAGGAGGGGTCTTCCCTGATCCTAAGCAAGGAGTTGATGTAGGGGGTGCCAGAGCAATTTGCTAGTCTTTTTTTTTTTT